CCTTGGGGGCCACCGACGCCTCGAGGGAGGAGCTGAATCCCCCGGAGACGAACTTGGAGGTCGCGGAGGATGAGGAGTTCGAGCTCGAAAGTATGGGATCCAACTTTACGGTGAGTAGCGGAGGGGTAGAAGGGGACTTGGGGGTTGAGGCCGCCAACACGTTTGAGGTGGTTCGGTGGATGTGGGGTTGGCTAGGGCCCTTTATCACGCTCCTCGAGGAATTTAGCCGCAGGGACTGGGCAAAACGCCTTCTGTCCTCCATCTGGGAGGAGCCCACGCCCATTCCTTCTTCCCACCTGTCCGCCGCCGCCGGAAACGACCAAAAAGCCTCTTGTCTGGAGATCCTCTTTCTCTACCAGCTCAATGCGAAACCAAACTATCGACAAGGGGCGGTGTGGTCGTCGTTATTGCAAAGCATCGCCAACTGCATCTCCGATCCGAAGTTCCGTATTCCCTTCAGCGCCCTGTTCCTGACCTACACGGAGCGCCTCCAGTCCAAGAAATCCCCCATCGAGGACCTTTATGTGCAGGTTTTCACCTGCTCCGCAACCCTTACCACCCTCGCGCTGTCGCCGGAGCGGATGCCCTACACCCAGCCGTCCTTTGATACGATTCTTCATCGCCAGATCTCCAGCATTTTGTACTCCTTCTGCCAACTCCCACGGAATCCCAATAACGCGTCGTTGTGGAACTCGGCGCGGGGCGAATGCCCGCCATGGATGATCTTCGTGAAGGAACGCAGCAAAAGCATGAAATCATCCTGCACGGCGGTGTTATATTTGATGATTGCTCGATGTGAGGAGTTGGGCCTGATTGCCGTCCTCTCCAAAACGTTTATGCGGGCGTGGGTGCATTTGTTATTGCTCTTCTCCGTCAACGCCGTGATCCGGAAGGACCCGGGGAGCTTCACGAATATGTATTCCATCACGGAGTGGATTAATCTCCTCCTCATTCGCGTGATTTGGGGAATGGGGGTGAAGGTTGGCGTCATTTTGGCCAAACTTCAACCCCCGCGGCGAAGTTTCCCGAGCGCCGCCGCGCCGGATGAGGCGGGGCCGATGGTGAGCGATGCCGTTCGGCAGGTCGTCGACCGATCGCGCCGATTCGACCCCACGCCCGATCGCGCCGCGTATTGCGAGCCGCACCGATGTCTTCTCCAACACGCCGCGCTGGAGCCGAACGAGGCGGCCTCATTATTGCCTTTTTTGCCCTCGGAGGAAGAGGAGGGCTCGAGGGCGGCGCTGGACTACATCCTGGCCCTCCTCCGCGAGGCAACGGCGGGGCTCGAGACTTTTCTTCTCTGCCAACGCGCGTATTTTTGTTGGGGAAGTAGGGATGGGGGTTTACACCGCGGGACGGGCCCGATCTTGGAGTATAATCTGTTGGAGCCGGTGGAGAACATGACCACGCTGGTCTTGCCGGTGCAGCGCATCGTGGCGATCTTAATTCAAACCTGGTTGATTCATCAGCGAAGTTTAAACCCACCCGAAAACGCTCTGGACGACCCGGACGCCTTGCTGGTTTCCCAACGTCTGCATGGTTGCGATAATCGCGAAGGGCGAAGGCCTTTGCGCGCGTTGATGGATTTGCTTTTTCCCCCCACGATTCTGACGCCGTCGGGGGAGCAGGGGTCTTCGTGGGATTTTTTTGACGGGCTTTTGGATTCTTTGGTGATGCCGTTGGTGCTCGTTTCCCAACGGGAAGAGGGGCTCTGGCGCCGCAACGACTGCAATGTCCTCACACGCACCCTCAAGCACTTTGAAGTGGGCGCGAATTTTACGCTTTTGAATGATATTTATCTGATTCAAGTATTGGTGACCTGCTTTCCACCGCAGGACTTTGCCATTCGTCTTCTGGAGCGCTTTTCCTACGTCCGGGGCGACGAAAACGCCTCGTGGAAGGCGAAAAGCGAGGGGACCTCACACGACGACGCGGTCACAGGCGTCAGGGGGTTGGCGGGCTACCTGCGGCTTATGATCACGCTGATTCAGGATGAAAGCAAGGCGAATACCCACATCGATTCCATCCACTCACTTCGCAGCATCGTCGCGTTCTATCTATCCCAGGATCACCTCACACACTCCAAGCTGGTGGATCTCCTCAACACTAACTTCTTCGGATCTTTGGCCGAGGACTACGAATTCTTAACCCAAAGCCTTTCCTCATCCTTGGACGAAGTCGCGGTGGCGGAGGATGGTCCGTCCGGGAAGATCTTTCGCCTGAAGGACCTCCAAACCTGGACGCGGTGGGTGGATCTCTACCACCCGCAGTATCGCGATTTTATCCTGCCGGCCATTATTTCGCAATACCGACATATCGCGGCCCTCGAAAAGACCAAGGCCCACAAGTCCCTTCGCTGCGAAGGCGCGAGCCAGGAAGCCCGGAAAGACGCCGCGCCAGCCATGGTGCCCCCAACTCGGCTTCGGCAAAGCGAGCAATACGCGGAGTTCATCCCCAGCCTTCGGACGCTTCTTCACACGGACGGGTTTCTCCTGACAGCGTGTTATATCATCCAGCTCTACGTGTTAAACTTCAAACGCATCGCCGAGGCCGAGGCGTTGGGGAAAAAGCCGCCCCCCTACGGCGACGATGCCGAATCGCATCACGTCAGCGAGCACCTCCTCCTCCATGCGATCACGGCCCTCCACCTTTGCGTGCAGGATTGCGCGGCGCTCTCCCGCGCCCTCCGCGCGGAGGCCGGCATTGACGAAAGCCTCACCATCGAGCGGGAAATCCACTGGGAGTCCGTCGAAACCTACCTCGAGCGCACCTTCGCCGCGGCCCCCACTTCGTTCACGACGGAATCGGCCAATTTATATCTACGACTGCCGGAGCTGGCCGGGGGGGCGTCGGTTCGGGCGTTATTGGCCAAACCGGCCCCTCCGCACCGCCTTTGCCGGGGCCCGCGGCTTTCCGAGGGGGAGGGCCCCCAAGATGGGGCCCCGACGGCGGACGCCCTGCATGACCTTCGCGACTTTTTACGGCAAAACCCCCAACTCGACGACTTTAGCCTCCTGGCGATGGTGGAGTCGATCCTCCTGGCGACCGGGCTGGCGCGGTTTGAGGCCTCGGCGGGGCATCCGGGGCAGGGCGACGCCGACGGGCGGGTGAAAAACCGCCAGCAGCGGATTAAAGAGCGCCAGGCGAAACTCCTCCAGCGCCTGCAAACCCGCAGCTCGAAGGTGGGCGTGGCGATGGGATTGGCGGAAGGGGAGGGCGAAAAGGGGGAGGGGGCGTCCTCGCCGGCGGCGGGGGCCCTCCCGCACACCCCGACGAGCGGCGGGTACGTCCACAGCCGGCTTTTGTTCGATCTCGCCTCGTTGGAGTGCTGCGTTTGTCGGCTAAGCCACCGAGAGCCGCTGATGCTGCTTGGGCAGTGCTCCACCTCGGGGGTGCTGCGGCTTTTGGACTCGATCGCGCTGCCCGAGGGGCGTCGGGTGCACGGACACTACTACATCTGCGGCCATGCCGCTCACAAATCCTGCACGAACCGAATTTTCCGCCGTCTCGCGCGGCTTTGGCAGAGCGGCGACTTCCAGGGGCAGGGATTTTTGGGCGCGTCCGAGTTCGTCTGCCCGATTTGCATGATGGTGTGTACCAATCTGAGCCCTCTACCCGTGTTTAGCAATCATCCGGGCGGGAAGGAAGCGCCGGACGAGACGATGCTCTTTGAGGAGATCCAAAGGAGCACCGTCAGCCTAAACGAGCCGGGCGTGATGTCCGCCGTGGGCGACCTCCACACGTCGATTGCGCAGGCCGCCATCGGGGCCTCCGCCTCGACGGACATGAAACCCATCGAGACCCATGAGGATCCACTCCAGGCGAACAACAACGACGCGTGGATTTTATCGGAAACGCTGCGGACGATCTACTACAGCTTTCGCATCACGCTGGAATCCATCAAGGCCGGGGTGTACGAGGTCACCTCCAAAGACCTTCTCACCCTGCTTTCCTTGCTTATTTCGATCTCCCCGCAGTCCCTGGAGGCGCACTACACCGCCTTGCACGCGAACTACCGCCGCAGCGAGCAGGACAAGTTCCCTTTGTTGATCTTGGAAGTGGTAAAAGACCCCAAGCAGGCGTCCCGGCTCATCCAACACTACGCGGCGAATCTGCGGGAGGCCGGGCTGGACGACCCCGCGCAGCCCATCGCGCGATGGATGGACCTGGGCTGTGCGGCCCTGCTTAAACTGCTAGTGTGCGATGAGCCCGCGGGCGCCGTGCTCGACGCGCAAGTGGAAAACCCTTTTTTCCTCCTCCCATTGCGTTCGTCGGCCTTGGCGAGCGCGGCGGCACGCGCCGAGGCGATTCAGCGCCTGTGGGGGTACCTAACGGGGGTTGAGGAGGGGCCCGATCCCCACCCGATCGCCGCGCCGGCGCCCGGGCGATTTGAGAATCCGGCGCAGTGGCAGGGGCACCTGCTGGGTGAGGTTTTGCACCTCCCGATTGACTACATCGACCTGGTCGTGCGGTATAACCTCGTCCATAATAAGGAAAGCGGCGGGGGCAAGAATCGGGAGGAGAGCTCCGCTCTATGCTGCCTTTGTGGAAAGTTTTTATATATTGAACCTCAGGGTTCGTTCTTTGAGCGCTTTAACCACACACGAGAATGCGTGGGCGGTGTTGGAATATTCTTGATTTTGCATTACACTTCGCTTCTCGTACTAGACTCCGTCGCTGGCCGCTTGGTGGAGTATAGCTCCCTTTATACGGACGAATTCGGGGAACCTGACGAGGGCCTGCGGCGCGGCGTGCAGCTCAAACGAAATGTGGAGTTGTGCAAGAAGTTTTTGAAGCTATGGATTCGGAATGAGTGGAGTGCCAACTCGATGATTTTACGCCGCAGCAGGCGAATCGGCACCACGCAATTTTAAGAGGATGTTCTTGCCCCCCTATACTCGTGATCATCAGAGGCTTTTGAATCGAACGGATGACTATGCTTTGAAAGGCAAGCGATGAGCTTTATGAAAGGAATACCTCTTTGGTATTTGGTTAGAATCTTTAGGAAGAAGGAGTCTAGGCCAGGTTACGATTGCTGGGAGTCTATATCCATTCTTCAGCACTCATAATATTTTCTTTGTGAAGATACAATGGAAAAAAAAATAGTAATGTAAAATTCTGCCAAGTTTTTACAATTTCTGTCAAGATATCTAAACGTAAACGGTCTTTTCCCCTGAATACATCCTTTTCCAACCACCTACGCGGGGTTAGGTAATTCCTGAAAGTTTTTAATTTTGGCGTTATAATAAAGAATTAGCGGAGGGTTAGGTGAAGTTGGAAGACTTTTTTCTCGGAAAAGAACTCCAGTTTTGAAAGGGTATAAAACCCTAGGTTATCATATATCATCAACACCGATAAGAATTCCGGTAATCTAAATTTTTGCATAGTTGAGAATGTGTTTTAGTTCATCCCCTTAGTTTTTGGATAAAAGTTAACCATTGATTACCTCACACGTACACTCTGACTAGATTAGTAATTTACAAGACCTGTGTGTATACGTGTTGAATTCCATTTTCACAGTCATTGAGCTCTCCCCTAATTAGTAAGAGTATCTATTGAAGATACCATATATCTAATATAATCTAATCGAAAGGGCAAAAAGCAAATTAATCCAATAGGAGGAGCTCATGCTCACAGACGACGCGCTCGACACGCACTTCACCTTCGAGGACTCCCTCCCGGTGGAGCCACCGCGGAAGGAGAAGCGGCTTGAGATCTGCCAGGACTACCAAAAAGGCCGGTGTCGGCTCGGGGACTCCTGCCCCCAGCGGCACATCCTCTCGGACTACCGCACTGTGCAGACGCGGGTGTGCAAGCACTGGCTCCGCGGCGCCTGCGTGAACGGCGAGAACTGCCTCTATCTTCACGAGTACGAGAACCGCTTCGTCCCGCCCTGCGCCTTCTATGAGCGGCTTGGCGAGTGCACGAACCCGGAGTGCCCCTTCGTCCACGCCCGGCCGCAGGAGAAGCAGCCGGAGTGTGCGGCCTACCACCGCGGCTTCTGCCCGCTGGGGCCCACGTGCAAGCTGCGGCACGTCGCGCGCCAGGCCTGTGCGGCCTACCTGTCCGGCTTCTGCCCTCTGGGGCCGCGCTGCCCCCACGCCCACCCCATCCAGGAGCTGCACGACCGGGTCTCCGTCTTCAACCGCAT